TGATATGATAAAACAGATTGAAAAGAATGGCGTAGATGCATTCTTGAAATCAATAAACGAATTACGCGAAGCAAACATTGAGAGAAGTATTTGGATCGGTAACTTCTATTTGAATTTGTTCCACCTGAGCTTTTTGAGGCCTTTGCGTCTTCTCAGCATTCATTACTTTACAACGTTCACGAATACGGTCATAAGTCTCATTAACATCCTTTATAAAAACTTCACGTGCTTGTGGATCTGGTGACGTTATTCTGCAGAAATAACAATGTTAATTAAACATGTATAATACAAATAAAATTTCACAAATTCAATGCTATTCCCTATACCTTCTGAAAAACAGTGTAACACCATCCTTTCCTAATTTCTGACAGTATTGTAACAACCAGCCCTGATGTACACATTGTTTAGCATACTTGTCCTTTCCTTTTAATTGCGCACGGAATGCCTCACCCAAAATTTGATCTGATATGTCTTGTTCTACCACTTCAGGGTGGTCAGTTATAAATTTGTAACTATCATCATAATTTTTAATAGCTGCAAACTCTTTTGCTAAATCTGATGTAACAAATTCTTCATCGTCGTCACTATCCTCAGCATCATCATTTCCAGCCGGTTTCTGTACATATAGCAAGTCAGACTAATATATATATATATATATATATATATTTAATTGATTTGCTTACCGATTCACCTTCAAGAGGTTTTAACTTTGCATCAGGATTCAGTACTTCAATAGATTTTTCCTTTTTTTTTTTTGTTTTTGGTATCTCCAGTTTTGTAGCTTTGTTAACAACCTGTTTACAATATTGTATTTCAAATTAACAATTGATTTATTAAAATAAAGTTCATCGTAAAAATATACTTACACTACTATTAATGCCTGTATGCAAGTCATCCATAGTAATCTTCTTTTTAGCTTCCCTTTCTTCCTTTTCCAATTCTTTTTTAGCTTCCTTTTGTTCTTTACTCAATTTATTACAATGTTCTCTCAACTTCCTCACCAATTCCTCACCAACTTCTTCGGGACTTTCATTATTGATTTCACTCTGAATTTTATCGAATAGCATGGCCATCATAAGATCAAAAGATGGATATTTGGGTGGTTTATCTTCTTCCTGATTTGTCGATCCATCATTTTTGGTCGATTCATCATTTTTGGTTTCGTCTTCCAGTTTACTGTTTGCTTCGCGTAATTCGTTTATTGATTTCAAGAATGCATCTACGCCATTCTTTTCAATCTGTTTTATCATATCA